TCAATGAGACGAGACAAAGTATATGTGAACTGCTGTATGGAAAGCGAATTTGCTCTGTAAATCTTCACCCAAATCACAATAAATAAAAAATAAAAATAATAAAACAATAAAACAGCACCAAAATTCTTTGGCACTTTTTCTGTTTTAGTTACTGAACTGTGAATGAATGTTGCATCTTAGGGACCTCAGGACTTTATATTATCTAAAAGTAATTCTGTCCAGGCGTGTTTTCTCTCCTTGTCATAAGTTCAGTGCATATCCTCTTTCCTCTAATTATTTTAAAAAAATGTATGATGCTTTACAATTCATGAAGAACTGTCACATTCATTACCTCATTCAATCCTCCTACCACCCTTGTGAAGTCAGAGTTATTATCACTATGCTATGGAGGAAAAAAATTGAGACCAGGTAAAGTCTGAAAGAGCCCTGGTTTTCTGACTTGTAGTCAATATTTTTTTCTTGATGAAGGTTGAGTTGGAAGAGTTTTCAGCACTGTGCATTCTCCCAACCCTCTTTCTACCTTCCACTCCTACCTCTGGATTTGAAAATCTCCTAAAGCATTGCAGTACTTTTCACACTAGCTAAAAGGTGGAAACAGCTGAGATGTCCATCAGTGGATGAATGGATAAACAAACATGTGACTTGCACACACAATGGAAATGAAATTAAAATCCTGATGCATGCCACAACATGGATGAACCTTGAAAACATCATGCTGAGCAATATAGTCAGTAGCAAAAGGACAAATATTGTATGGGCTCACTTATATGAAATAAGCAAGCATATAGAAACCAAAAGTTATTAGGGTTACCAGGGGTGGAAAGGAAGGAAAGGAACAGTTCTTTCTTAGGGAGCATCAAGTGTATGTTAATGGTGGTGGAATGATTTGGGAAAGGATAGTGAGAAATGTTGCACAACTTGAAGAATGTAATCAATGTAGAAATTGTTGCGATGGCAATACAAATATCAAACCTTACAATAAAAATAATAATAACATCACCACAATGAAAACAAAATTACACTTTACCTTTACATATCTCCAAGGGGAATGTGAAGAACATTTTCCCAGAGCTGGAAGTATATCCAGAGTCACAGGTACAGTAAGTCCCATTGACACAAGATGCGTTCTCGGGACACCGAGGACAGGAAGCTGCAGGGAGCAGAGAGGAAGGTCACTTATCACTTGGCTCACAGGCCGTCCTCTCATCACTTGGCCTTGTTTCTGAGCAGACCTTCCTGAGGCTGAGAAGGCCCTTGTCCTTTTCTTTCTTGATGTTGCAGACCATTAAAAGATTAAAGATGCCAGACCAAAGGTATAGAAATAAATGGGATTCCTGTGCATGATAAAGGACTGAGAGGTTGATGTTAAATTAATTTGAACACAAAATAACATAAATATGATGTTATTGTGCTACTCCCTACATCATTGTAGAGTTAAAAAAAAAAAAACAACTTGAGTTGGTTAAGACTGTAGTCCTAGGTTTCAATTCTGGCTCCACAACTTACTAGTTGTGTGTCCTTGGGCAAATGTCTTAACCTCCCTGTGCCTCACTTCCCTCATGTGTGAAATGGGTTATTGTGAAGATGAAGTGAATTAATACACAAGTGAAATGTTTGGAGCAGTGCCTAGCATGTAATTAGTGTCAGTTATGATTATTGTTGTTGTTACATGCTGTCGAGTCAGACTCGACTCATAGCAACCCCTCCTTGGGTTTTTGAGGTGGTATCACTTTGGAAGTAGATTGCCCAACTTTCCTTCCGAGGAGTGGCTGGTGGGTTTGAACTGTCAGCCTTCTGGTTAGCAGTCAAGTGCCTTAGGCAAAAAAGTGGTATTTGTAGGGTACCACAGGAGGTACATTCTGCTAATGGAACATGTTAAGATATCTCTTCATTTAAATAGAGCTATGTCAGAAGTCTTAATCTGAGAACGACTGGGAATGAATGGAGTCCTTGGGTGGTACGAATGATTCGTGCACTCAGCTGCTAACTGAAGGGCTGGAGATTCAAGTCCAACCAGAAGCACCTTGGAAGAAAGGCTTGAAAATCTACTTCCAAAAAATCAGGCACAACAACCCTGGGAGTACAGTTCTACTCTGACACACATGGGGTCTCCATGAGTCCAAACCCACTCTGTGGAAACTGGTGGGAATGATTGGAAGCAATGCAGTGGAGGAAACATCTCAGTCATGGGGTCTGGGGGCTGCAGCCCTGAGAAAAGCACAGCCTGCAACAGATCACAGGGAGTGGGGACTGGGCCAAGTGAAGGAGGAATGCACGCCTTGGGAGCTGGCTGTTGTTGTTATGTGCCGTCAAATCGGACCTGACTCATAGCGATCCCTCCTTGGGTTTCCGAGGCAGTATCACTATGGAAGTAGACTGCCCCATCTTCCTTCCGAGGAGTAGCTGGTGGGTTTGAACCACCAGCCTTCTGGTTAGCAGTGAAGTGCCTTAGGCACTATGCTGTCACAGCTCCTGGGAGCTGGCTAGGAGTGTAGAATCTCCCCCTCAGACCTGCTGAATCAGAATTTGCATTTCAACTCAGTTCCCTGGGGATCAAAATTAAACTGAAATTATCTTGTTCATTATCTATTGACTCATTTATCAGCAAGAAGCTCTGGTGGCTCAGTGCCTAAGGCATTTGACTGTTAAACAGAAGGTAGGCGGTTCAAACCCACGATCCTCTCCACGGAAAGAAGACTGGGCAATCTACTTCTTGCTTCCAGAAAGACTTACTGCTTTGGAAACCCAGTGGGGGTCGCTATGAGTTGGAATTGACTCGATGGAGTGGGTGTGTTTATTAGCAGAATGGTAACAATGATCATCATGTTCTCTCTCTCCCCACTGAATATTTTCTTCCTAAAACTTTGTGTGTTTTATTCACTGCTCTATCCCCACATCCTGCACATTGTGGACACTAAATACTTACAAACAGGTGAATAAAAATAAAATAAAAAAGACCTTAATTTGGTGAAATTATTCATTAAACAAACAGAAGGAACAACCCTACCTAAATCCTGGTCCCAGAACAAGCCCCTTTCATCTAGCTATTGGAGGACATGGGTGGTCCCAGGTGCAGCCTTGGTCCTTACCCTCCCTTGTGTCTGGCTGTGGAAGGGACAAGCTCTGAGTACTCACCTTTGGCCTTCAGAGCTGCAGCTCCTGGCAAACTCAGCAGGAAGCAGAGCCCTGGAAAGGGAAGCAGAAGGGAGAGGCATGAAACAACAGAAGAAAGATTCCAGAAGATCCCCCAAGGGCTGTGTTTCAATGACCTATTGCTGTGTATGTTTTAATTTTGACCCAAAGAAGTCTGGGCGTGTCACCTTTTATCAGGTGTGGCCCAAGGAAATCAGACTCATGCAGGGAGGCCAGAAACAAATACAATTTTCTACTCACTGGTCCTAGGGCAGAAACTACAGCACATCTTAATTGAGGGCCACACAGGGGTTTGCACCTAGGGAAAGGCAACAAGAAGTTGGAATTGTAGGAGAGGGCTTCTGTATGGCAAGCACGGTAGGCAGGCCTTCTGGGTTAGCATGAGGGGAACTTTATAGTGCATTTGGTGGGAAAAAAGGAGATGGTTTTATGCAGGGAATCATATGGGTCATGCCTAGAAGCGGGCAAGGAGTAACTCTGACTGTTAAGCTTGATAACAACAAGGTCTCTTTCATGGGAAATTGTATAGGGCATGGCAGGGAGGGCTAGTCAGAGACCACAATGGTTGAGAGACTGTGTGACAAAATAGGAATGGCCATGTCAGAAACTGGGTGAAAGAGCAACCACGAGAAATTATTAGATGCCGAGGAACAAAATATGTAGGCCACAAATTGACCTCATGAGAGGGTAACAAATCACCACAAGATACAGTGGCTTAAAACAACTACATTCATTTCATTCTTTGTTATGGTTTCTGTGGGTCAGGAATTTGGCAAAGGCTCAGATGGGCAGTTCTGGCTTGGGGACTCCTCCTCAGAGTCTCCTCCCAGCCAGCAGCAATATTGTGCTCTTTAATATGGCCGCGTGTCTTAAGTTAGGGTTTCTGAAGAAGAGTCATTGGCACGTCAGAATTTCAGAGTTCTAAAAGATTTCATTCAGATAACGTTTCACAGCTGTTCAGAAGGTTTTCAGCAACCATTTTTTTTTCAGAAGTGGACTGCTGAGTCCTTCTTCCTGGTTTGGCTTAGTCTGGAAGCTCTGCTGAAACCTGTCCATGGTGGGTGACCCTGCTGGTATTTGACTAGCAGTGGCATAGCTTCTAGCATCACAGCAACATATAAGCACAACAGTATATGACAACTGATAGTATAACAAACTGTCAGGCATCCTCAACATAAAGAAAATGAAAATCCTCACAATTGGACCAATAAGCAACAACATGAATGAAGAAAAGATTGAAGTTGTCAGGGATTTTATTTTACTTAGATCCACAATCAATGCCCATGGAAGCAGCAGCAGTCAAGAAATCACAGGATGTATTGAATTGGGCAAATCTGTTGCAAAAGGCTTCTTCAGAAAATGTTAAAAAACAAAGGTGTCATTTTGAAGACTAAGGTGTGCCTGATCGAAACCATGGTATTTTCAGTAGCCTCATATGCATGTGAAAATTGGACATGGAATAAGGAAGACCTAAGAAAAACTGGTGCATTTAAATTATGGTGTTGGCCACGAATATTGAAAATACCATGGGCTGTCAGAAGCAAATCTGTCCTGGAAGAAGTACAGCTGGAATGCTCCCTAGAAGAAAGAATGGCCAGACTTCAGCCTGTACTTTGGCCATGTTGTCAGAAAGGACTAATCTCTGGAGAAGGATGTCATGCTTGGTAAAGTGGAGGGTCAGTGAAAAAGGGGAAGAACTTCAATGAGATGGATTGACACCGTGGCTGCAACTATGGGTTCAAGGATAGCAAAAATTGTGAAGATGGCATAGGAATGGGCAGGATTTTGTTCTGTTGTCCATAGGGCTGCTGTGAATCAGAGCTGACTCGATGGCACCTAACAGCAACAAGAGACTTCATATGAAGCATGCATCTAGGAAAATTAGAAGTTGTCAAACATGAAATGGAATGCATAAAGATCAATATTCTAGGCATTAGGGAGCTGAAATGGACTGGTATTAGCCATTTTGAATTGGACAATCTGTTGGTATAGTGTCTAAGGTATTTGACTGCTGACCAGAAGGCTGGTGGGTCCATAGAGATACCACCTTGGAAACCCAAAGAGGGCTTGCTATGAGTCGTAATTGACTCGACGGCAGTGAGTTTGGTTTTTGGTATGGTCTACTACACTGAGAATGGCAAATTAAAGAGGAATGGAATCACATTCATCATCAAAAAGAACATTTCAAAATCTACCTTGAAGTACAGTGCTGTTAATGGTAGGATAACATCCATATGCCTACAAGGAAGATCAGTTAATACAACTATTATTCAAATTTACTAAAGCCAAAGATGAAGAAATTGAAGATATTTACCAAATTCTGCAGTTTGAAATTGACCAAACATGCAATCAAGATGTAGTATTGATAATGACCGGTGATCAGAATGCAAAAGTTGGAAAAAAAGAAGATCCATTGTTAGATGGAAAACATGGCTTTGGTGAAAGAAATTATATTGAAGACTGCTTGATAGATTTTGGAAGACCAATGACTTAGTCATTGGAAATACCTTTTTCCAACAACATAAATGGTGACTATACACATGGACCTCACCAGATGGAATACAGAGGAATCAGATCAACTACATCTGTGGAAAGAGGCAATAGAGAAGCTCAACATCATCATTCAGAACAAGGCCAGGAGCCGACTATGGAAAAGACAATCAATTGCTCATATGCAAGTTCAAGTTAAAGCTAGAGAAAATTAAAACAAGTCCATGAGAGCCAAAATATGACCTTGAGTATATACTACCTGAATTTAGAGACCATCTGAAGAATGATTGGACACATTGAATACTAATGACTGAAGACCAGATGAATTGTAGAAAGACATCAAGAACATCACCCCTGAGAACCTGGAGGACATTACTGCTGAGTGAAATAAGTCAATCACAGAAGGACAAATATGGTATTAGCTCATTATTGTAAAAAGTCAAGGAAAGGTTTATATATGGAAGAAAACTTTCTTGGTTACAAGGGGAGGGAGGGGAGGAGAGGGAACATTGCAAAAAAAAAAAAAAAAAGAATTGACCCATGTCACTTTAGTTTTGTTTATTTCACTATATGTAAATTATATTTCAATAAAATGTACTTTTTCTTTCTTTCTTTTTTTTTTTTTTAAATCATCCATGATGAAAGCAAAAGGTCATTAAAAAGACAGGAAAGGAAGAAAAGACCAAAATGGACTTCAGAAGAGACTCTGAAACTTGTTTTGGAATGGAGAGTAGTTAAGGTGAATGGAAGAAATGATGAAGTAAAAGACGTGAACAGAAGATTTCAAGACTTGAGAAGACAAAGTAAAGTATTATAATGGAATGTGCAAAGACCTGGAATTGGAAAATGAAAAGGAAGGAACCACACTTGGAATTTGTCAAGTTGAAAGAACGGAAGAAAAGATTCAAGCCTGAAGTTGCAATATTGAAGGATTCTATAAGCAAAATATTGAATGATGCAGGAAATCTCAAAGGAAGATGGAAGGAATACACAGAGTCACTGTACCAGAAAGAATTGGTCGTCATTCAACCATTTCAAGAGGTAGCATATGATCAAGAACCAATGTTACTGAAGGAAGAAATCCAAGCTGCACTGAAGGAATTGATGAAAAACAAAGCTCCAGGAATTTACGGTCTACCCACTGAGCTGTTTCCACAAATGATGCAGTGCTGAAGGCACTTGCTTGCTTATGTCAAGAAATTTGGAAGACAGCTACCTGGCCAATTGACTGAAAGAGATCTTTATTTGTGCCCATTCTAAAGAAAGGTGATCCGACAGCATGCAGAAATTATTGAACAATGCCATTAATACCACACTCAGGTAAAATTTTGCTGAAGACACTTCAAAAATGGTTGCAGCATTGACAGGGAACTGCCAGAAATTCAAGCCAGGTTCAGAAGAGCACATGGAATGAAGGATATATTGCTGATGCCAGTGGATCTTGGCTGAAAGGAAAGAATACTAGAAAGATGTTTACCTGTTTGTTTGTTTTTTTTTTTTTAATTGTGCTTTAGGTGCAAAGTTACAGAGCAGAATTTTTTCACATTCAACATTTCGTGTACATTTGGTTTCACTCCCCAATTACCATCCCCAATCCCAACTCACCCTCCTCCTCTCCTTTCCCAGGAAACCCCCCTCCCCATGCCCTTCTTGATTGTTTACCTGTGTTTTATTGACTATGCAAAGGCATTTAATTGTGTGGATCATAAGAAAATTATGGATAACATTGCAAAGAATGGGAATTCCAGAACACTTAATTGTGCTCGTGCAGAACTTGTACATAGACCAAAAGGCAGTCATTCAAACAGAACAAAGGGAATAGTAACCGGTTTAAAATAAGGAAAGGTGAGTGTCAGGGTGTATCCTCTCACCATACTTATTCAATTTCTATGCTGAGCAAATGATCTGAGACACTGGGCTATATGAAGAACACAGCATCAGAATTGGAGGAAGACTAATTAACAAACTGTGACATGCAGATGACACAATTTTGCTTGCTGAAACTGAAGATGACTTGAAGCACTTACTGACTCATGAAGATCAAAGACTACAGCCTTCAGTATGGATTACACCTCAACATAAAACCAAAAAACCAAACCCACTGCCATAGAGTTGATCCCGACTCATAGAAACCCCTTTGAGTTGCCAAGGTGGTCAGTCTTTACAGAAGGAGACTGCCCCATCTTCCTTCAGTGGAGCATCTGGCAGTTTTGAACTGCCAACATTCTGGTTAGCAGTCAAATGCCTTAGACATTGCACCACCAGAGCTCCTTCCTCAACATAAAGAAAACAAAACTCCTTACAACTGGACCAATAAGCAACATCACAATAAATGGAGGAAAGATTGAAGTTGTCAGAGATTTTGCTTACTTGGATCCACAATCAATGCCCATGGAAGCAGCAGTCAAGAAATAAGACATCATATTGCACTGGGCAAATGTGCTGCAAAAGACCTCTTAAAAGTGTTAAAGAGCAAAGATATCACTTTGAAGACTAATGTGCTCCTGACCCAAACCATGGTATTTTTCAATAGCCTCATACAC